ACAACGTGTTTTGTAGTCAACTAGTCCATCACAATGTCATGCATGAGGAGTACTGTAGGAGTTTGGCTTTCGGCTTGTACAATTCGTTTTCGCAAAGCTTCCCTTTCTTTACTTATCTTTGATATTTATGACCCACCCAAGTTGGGTGGTGTGCTGCTTTGCTGCTTCGAATTGTAGTTAGACCGCTTTGTCAAATATCGTACTGGTCTCGTCATCGTCCAGTAACAATCGACATTCTTTGTTCCGTTGGGACTGTGGCTTTTGCTCGTTTTCGTTGCGCTTGCCTTCCCCTCTTTGGTCTTTTCCATAACCTTGAACCTTCCAAGTTGGAAGGCTGTCGGTTAGCGCTACGGAGATGTGTTAAAGTTAGGTGTCAGGACGTCGAATGTCTCAGTACTCTGTCAGTTTTGTGCCTAGTTATTGCACTTTCTGACTGTATATAGTATCATGTTACAGTGATGGAGAGTTACTCTAAACTCGTATCCATATGTCCTTTTCTATTTTACATTTATTTATGGCTCAACATCCGAGTTTCAAATTGCACACCTGATGAGCCGTCACGAACCATACGGCGAAACGTACGTCGTGTGAAACAACGTGTTTTGTAGTCAACTAGTCCATCACAATGTCATGCATGAGGAGTACTGTAGGAGTTTGGCTTTCGGCTTGTACAATTCGTTTTCGCAAAGCTTCCCTTTCTTTACTTATCTTTGATATTTATGACCCACCCAAGTTGGGTGGTGTGCTGCTTTGCTGCTTCGAATTGTAGTTAGACCGCTTTGTCAAATATCGTACTGGTCTCGTCATCGTCCAGTAACAATCGACATTCTTTGTTCCGTTGGGACTGTGGCTTTTGCTCGTTTTCGTTGCGCTTGCCTTCCCCTCTTTGGTCTTTTCCATAACCTTGAACCTTCCAAGTTGGAAGGCTGTCGGTTAGCGCTACGGAGATGTGTTAAAGTTAGGTGTCAGGACGTCGAATGTCTCAGTACTCTGTCAGTTTTGTGCCTAGTTATTGCACTTTCTGACTGTATATAGTATCATGTTACAGTGATGGAGAGTTACTCTAAACTCGTATCCATATGTCCTTTTCTATTTTACATATATTAAATAATAATAATCATAACAATTATTGTAGAAAGGAAAAGGAAATATAGATACGAGTTGAGAGTAACTCTCCATCACTATAACCAGATACTATACACAGTCAGAAAGTGCAGCAATTAGGCACAAAACTGACAGAGTACTGAGACATTCGACGTCCTGACACCAGTATCTGGTTAGAGTGATGGAGAGTTACTCTCAACTCGTATCTATATTTCCTTTTCCTTTCTACATTTATTATTGGCTCAACATCCGAGTTTCATAATAATAATTATTATTATTATATCCTGAAACCACCAGTGCAATGACATGGACAAGAACATCAGCAAAAAAACACCAAACTTGCACACGCGCTTGGTTACAAGCCCGGGTGCACTATTCAAGAGAGGGCTTCATGTTTCCACTGGCTATATTATACTGCTTCACTATTCAAGATAGGGCTCTAATCATGCGAGTACGGACCGGTATTCAAACGCTTTCCGCGTGTACTGCGATATGACCATGATGACAGAACACACTCAAAAGGGTATTTGTCACGCCTGTTCTCGACCTACGTTCAGGGAAAGTCATGCTGGTTTCCAGACCAAGTGCTCACGCAGTGACCAAGACGCAGATGAGACATGTGGCCACAGGAAGCTGTATGTAGATATCATGCTCAATCTCCAGATTTGATTTTCACAAAACAGAGAGGTTCCAGGCTGTCCAAGAGAGTGCTCAATACCGAGAGGCAGATCGCTTAGTGCGTGAAACTCAGAGTTAAAACACTTTTCCGTCCTCTTATTGTTTGATTTGATTTGCACATGTTTCCAGCAGCATTAGCCTGGTCCTCTCTGTTTTGCTGCTCTTTCTTGACAACATTGAGAAAGAAAGGATGGATGTCGTCCAAAAGAAAGTTCGAATACGGGAACTATCTAAACGTTTTCTTTGGTCAACATGTTTGATAAGACTATCCTTTTCTGTTCACTTGTCTACTATTCCCAATCAAGGTCATTATGGACAGCTCAAATGAGCAATACGGTAGTCAAAAGCTTTCCGCGTGTACTACGATGTGAACGAACACACTCAAAAGGGTATATGTCACGCCTGTTCTCGACTTACTTTCAAAGAAAGTCATGCTGGTTTCCAGACCAAGTGCTCACGCAGTGACCAAGAGTTGGCAAGACGCAGATGAGACGTGCGGTCACCTGGAAGCTGTATGTAGATGTCTTGCTCACTCTCCAGATTTGATTTGCACATGTTGCCAGCCAGAATTAATTGTGCGAACGTTGTCACTGTTTTGACATGGTAGTACCGTGGTCCCCAGTGTTGTTTAGGTAGCGACTAACAAGCCAGGAATGAGCAACAGAAGAAGAGAGCCTACCTGCAGAGGGTAATACATGTCGAGAGAGGTGCATTCCCGCCCTCGGTTTTTACCACCAATGGTATGAGCAGCCAGGAGTGTTCACGTGCCCTGAAGAATTTGGTTGGCTCAATTATCAACAAGCATTCTGATTAACATTATTCAAGCGTTATGGCAAGATTGAGGTGCTGTATCTCTTTCTTGCTATTGAAAATTAATGGTTTGTAAAGTGTTTTCGTGGATGCAGGGCTTCCTATTTGCGCCGCCGAGCACGCTCAGCATTTCTCGATCAATGCCGCTTGCATGATTTGTAGGCTGGCTGCATCAATAATAGTGTGTTCTGCGTCGTTTGCAGGCATGCTTGGTAAAATACTATTTTTCATTGTCAATGATAACGACCTACTTCTTGCGTAGGTCAATTGACTAATCCTATCCACGATGGGAATTAACCGTATTGCGTCACTGATCCTTCCAATGTCCTAATCTTTACTTTCCCTTTTCCACCTGGACTCCTCCTTGGTTTCTTTTTTCTCTCTAGCTCTTCTCTTGTACCTTGTTGCTATTATTCACTTAAAGGGGAAGTATACCCTAAAATCAAATTTTCACCAGTTGTAGTCTTCGGGGTGCTGAGTCGAATGGTCTTGGTCCGAGGAAGCTGCGACGCTCCCTTCCTACTTGAATCCCAATCGAACTCGCGCACTTCCACCGAAACTGGGTGACTGCGCCCTACTAGATGGGGATTTGTATGCAAAATGTCACTAAAAGCGCCATTTCGTTCTTATAAAAGCACGGATGACCGCGATTGGCCCATATGTTGTAGTCTTTTGGACGCTGAGTCGACTGGTTTTGGTCCGAAAAGGCTGCGATGCAGCGTTCCTCCTTTATTCCCAATCGAACATGGTTGAAGAAGCGGTCACGTGCTACTGGGTGCCCAAATCACCTGGTCACCGCGCCAGCAGGCGACAACTTTCACACCAAGGTTCAACTCGAGTTCAACTCGAGTGACAGGACTGCACCCAAAAAAGGTCAAACAGGCTAGTAAGTTGTACCCTGCAGGCACGGTGACCAGGTGACTGGTGTACGCAGGAGCACGTGACCGCTTGTTCAACCATGTTCGATTGGGAATAAAGGAGGAACGCTGCATCGCAGCCTTTTCGGACCAACACCAGTCGACTCAGCGTCCAAAAGACTACAACATATGGGCCAATCGCGGTCATCCGTGCTTTTATGAGAACGAAATAGCGCTTTTAGTGACATTTTGCATACAAATCCCCATCTAGTAGGGCGCAGTCACCCAGTTTCGGTGGAAGTGCGCGAGTTCGATTGGGATTCAAGTAGGAAGGGAGCGTCTCAGCTTCCTCGGACCAAGACCATTCGACTCAGCACCCCGAAGACTACAACTGGTGAAAATTTGATTTTAGGGTATACTTCCCCTTTAATGTGGGGCTTTGAATAAAACAAGTTATGAACAGTACAAGCCTTGATTGCCCTTGGTGTTCTGTGTATTACCCTCTGCCTCCACGGTGTTCTGTGTATTACCCTCTGCCTCCACGGTCTTCAGCACTGCACTACTGTCAACACATGCACACTGTGTTTATTTTTTATTTTTTACATAGACCACCTGACATGGCAGCTACGGGAAGCACGCACAACCTGAATCGTGGCAGTGGTGGTGAGCTCCGCCGACCTAGGGTCTTGACTTCATGGCCACCTAGACGCACTAATGCATGACATAATTATTTCATTTCATGCATCTTAGTAATGATAAATCAATGCTCATTCGATGGATGTTCGAAATGGAGATTCGTTCATATAATTATTTATTATTCTCTCAGAATTTTGGCATGAGGTTATGGCACGACCTGAAGTCAGCGGATCTCTCCGTGGAGAGCGCTCTCCAAGCTGCAGGAGATAGACTAACTTGGCTTGACACTGTTGACAGATGCGTCGACTCTGCTCCTGTCTAACAGGTTCAGGGAAGATGCGAGCTGTGTTCATTATTATTAATCACTATCGCGGATACGTCCGTCCAGGACCATGAGGTTCAGCTACGGGACAGTCAGAAAGGACGTAACCCACACCGAAGGGTAGGGAAGACAACAACTAAAGAGCTGCTGAAAGGATTGAGTTGGGCATGCTAAAGAAAGCTTATGAAAACTTTGTTTCGCAGGCTGCGGCATACATTATGTTGATGTGGCCAAATGAGAGGCGGGGAAGAGGGTTGGGAGGTGCTGGACAATGTGATGCGTGAGTCTGCGGGAAAAGGGGTGTTGCGTTGGCGTTGGGTGCAGAATGCAATCCTGGGGCTGTGGACGATAGAACTGAGTTAGAAGGAAGCTGTGCAAGAAGGGCGGATTCATTGCTGGTAGGAAGGGTTGAGCCAATAGATTTCACTCCGTTTGGCCTAGCTGCACGCTATGACGTTGCGGAGGCAGTGTCGCGGCCGCATAACGTCATGACGCAGCCCCCGAAACTCCATTTTTCAAACGGAAATATCTCAAGAACGCTTTGTCGGAGACACATGGGACCAACACCATTCGACTCAGCTGCAAAAAAGACGTTCAGGATTTCTCACCATTCTGGCCATTCACACGCGGCTCCAAGACCATTCTGATAATGATATCCTGGAATACGTGGGAAAAGGTGATGCAAAATGGAAACGAGCCACAATGCTTCATACACAAATTAAAAACAACTCACCCAGGGTTGCTGAAAGCTGAGAATTAGTGATGCGAGGAATATGCGAATTTTCGGATTATTCTAGAATACCAACAAGACAGCAGAAAGAATACTAGTATTCGAATGTGAGAAGTAACGTTCGGTTATTCGAAAATTTGTGTGGCAGTGTTGTATCATCCTTTTCCAACCACAATCAGTCTTCTAAGTAGTGTTGAGGAGGAGAGTGTAGAAAATTGTATACCCCAAACCCATTCTGGGCATGGCTGGAAAATCAATGTTAATTATCTGGCTGCAAAAGTCGTCGCTGACTCTCACCCATGGTCTGTATGCTTGGGAGTGTGTGTTGCAAGCATCGTGAATGAAATCTTCAAGCTGGATACCTCCTGTTGTATGGAAGGCTCGCTTCCTCCTGCTCAAGAGGGTTGGTTTTGTTTCCGTTGCTATCGCAAGCGGATGGCGTGGGAAGCAGCACTATGCCATTTAGAAAGTCCTGGATTAAGGGAAGTGAATGGTAGCGGATGCAGCTGCGCCAATAGTTATATGTTTCACGTAGACAATGCTCGCCGCCACTCCGTTCTGCGGCCCAAGCGCGGTCACGCTAACAACCTCCTTCGCACTACCCAGTACAGTGGCCACCAAGCCGTCTGCTGTACAACTGTACATGGCCGGGAACCGGCTCGCTGCCAGGGGTACGTATTTGGTCAGCTCGCCGAGCAGGAGCCATCCGTTCGCGCACACGATCGGCCACACCGTGGTCAGGCACGGTACGATGTCCGGACCTGGGATCGCCGGGATCGTGCACAGTACATCATTCTCGGAGATGCCACGCATGCTTACTGATTTCACGCATTCAGAGGCCTGCTTGCCGTCGAGGCATGGAGGGTCGTTCCAGCGCAGCCGATATACCAGCAAATTACTTGATGCTTGCCGTGCAGCCGGTAATACAATACCCGATGGAGACCACAGGTCCGCAGTTGTCAGATTCCAGCTGTTCCTCATGCTGAACGAGACGACGAGGTATGCCAATGCCCGGCTCTCATTGCCACAATACGTACTGTATATATTGCCATGGAACTGTCTCGTCTTGCTCATGATGGCGTCAATAGAAGTGACCGCCTTTGCTGGCTGCAACAGGCGGCCATTCTCTTGGCACGTTCGCATGAGCAATGACCGGTTCGTCATGCCTACTGCATCGCTGAAGCCGACCGGGCCTGTCGACAGTACAGCGAGGATTGTGTGCAGCTCCAGGGATGCATTTGAGTGATCGACGGGACATCCCGACGTGGAGCAACCACCGGTCTGCGTAGCCAGCGGCATGTTGTCCGTTGTCCAGAACGTATCCTTGGACGGCGCTGCACCCACCGCCCAGATCAGTATGGAGCTCAGGCCAATGTGATAACTCGTGCCACCCTTGTAATCCACGCTTGCTCTGAAGTTCGTCACGGTTGGGTAGTAGAGAGAGGCGAGTGCGTGCGTTGGCGTCGTCATGCACCATTGCATCGGGATTTGCTGCTGCAGAGCTGCTTGGTGCAGGCCATCCATCCACATCTCCACGGCTGCGACGGATTCAATCAGATCCGGAACGCAGATATAATTCTGGTTCATGAAGTCGATCTCAAACGACTCCATGCCCATGCTCTTGCCCAACTTGAAGAATTCATTGTAAAATTCGGCGGAGCTATTCGGTGCAACGAGCCTAAAATGATAGTTTCCACAGCGTGGCAGTGCGCTGCTACTGTTGATCATGCTGAAGTTACCACCATTGTCACGCGCGTACACGGTGTCATTGCAGAAGAACGGCGCGTACAGCTGCAGAGGCGTGCCGAACTTCTGCCGGAAGTCCGCGACCGACATGCCGGCGTACGCCGCGTTCGGTGTCCAGTCCGTGACGCACCACGGCGACGAGAAGCTACTTTTCCACCACTCGCCCTGATGGGATAGGTAGCCGAGAGGTACCTCGATGCTGTCCAAATATGCCTTGAGGTCCAGCAGTGTCTTGACACAGCCAGAGCCTTCGTAACAGAAGCAATACATGGCACCATTGTCGGTCTGATAGCCCAGAAAGTCTAGGGTAATGTCCTGGTGTCGTTCAAGTTTACCAGTTGGCGAATGCGTGGACTGCATGAACTGCCCATAGTCGTGCATTGTCTGTGTCAGTCCTCTGGTGCCATGGAACACAACAAACGTGTGACTGAATCCGGCCGGCAAGCTCTTGACTGACTGACTGATGCCCGGTATCCAGTCGACCTTCTCGCCGTTGTACCGCTGATTCGTCTGACTGGAGCTCATAAAGTGATCGAAATAGGACAGAATGACAACGTCGGCTGAGTTCACGGGAGCTTCTCCATCGACATACACGTGAGGGCCAGATATCTTTCCATAGGCAGGGTATCCCATAACAGCACGTACCATCATACCACTCCATCCTAGGAAGGTCGAGTTGTCGAAGAATGAACCGTTGGCCTTGCTCAGTGCAGGGAAGTTGGTGATAACGTTATTGGCATCGCCACTGTTAGTTCCCGGCGTCAGTGAAGAGTTACTGATGTTGTAGGAGAAAGCTACGACATTTTCAAGACTAGGGTAGGTCTTGATGACTGTCACGATGGTAACATCGTCAGCCTGCCATGTACTATCCCAGGAAGAATAGCTACCGATCACGTCCACTCCGCTCTTTTGCTCTTTCTTCACCAAGACCAGCTTCTTGGCTGGCGATTCATCCACTGAATCATTGTGGCTTGTCTCATTGGTGGCGTCACTTGCAAACCATTGCTGCTCGTGGAACACGGCCACACCTGAACCTAACAGGAGTGGCTTGCCATTCAGCAAAATATTGTATTGGTCAGGTGATGGCACGTCTACACTCAGTTGTCCGAAACATGAGCACGTTATAGCCAGGACCGTGAACAACAGCAGAGCGAGCATGACGGCAATTTCGGATCACTTGATTTACCGCGGCTTCCCTTCTGCGCTCAGTCACCCTTGCTGCAAAATTGATGTAATGATTATGTTCGTGGATCTTTGGATTCAGTAAAATCTGGAATGATAAGAACGGTCGATAACATTTCAGGCTCCATAAACTAACTACATCATGTATGTTACGTTACTTGCTAGCCTCTCCAGCCATTTTGAAAGATCGTGATTGTGACATCTGAGGCAGTAGATCATGGTAGATCATAGAACGAATGTCACTGACACTGACTCAGTTGTGAAAGTGACAGGCTGAGGCTGATCTGCAAATCAAACCTAATCTTTTTCATTGAAATTGAATTGAAAGGTATTTTTTCTTATTTTGTTAGGGATTTCCCAACAGGCAATGTTGCCTTTTTACTGGTTACTACTATTAGATCTACGTCCTTCTTGTGTTGACCGGACAATATCAATGCCCAACTGCATAGTCAGGACTCGAAAAGACCACTGACTGTTAGGGTTGCTTGTGTGAAAGCCTTTCAAACACCGTGCTATTGCAGTCGTTTTAGTGCGAAATGGCCGGCGCACATGAATTGTTGGGGTGCTTGCTGCTGTTCGCGATTCCCTGCTTGGCACAGCTGAGTGTGAACGTGCCATCGCCTGACCGATACAATATTTTGCTGAATGGCAAGCTGCTCCTGTTAGGTTCAGGTGTGGCCGTGTTCCACGAGCAGCAATGGTTTGCAAGTGACGTCACCAATGAGACAAGCCACAATGATTCAGTGGATGAATCGCCAGCCAAGAAGCTGGTCTTGGTGAAGAAAGAGCAAAAGAGCGGAGTGGACGTGATCGGTAGCTATTCTTCCTGGGATAGTACATGGCAGGCTGACGATGTTACCATCGTGACAGTCATCAAGACCTACCCTAGTCTTGCAAATATCGTAGCTTTCTCCTACAACATCAGTAACTCTTCACTGACTGGAACGAGCAGCGAGAATGCAGATCAAGTCATCACCAACTTCCCGGCATTGAACAAGGTGGATGGAACGTTTCTACAGAATGCCACGTTCCTAGGCTGGAAGTCCACAATGGTGAGCCCTGTGTTTGGTGCTGAAGAGCAGAATAACTCCTATGGGACAACATCTGGCCCTCACGTGTATATAGATAGTGAAGCTCCCGTGAACTCAGCCGACGTTGTCATTCTGTCCTATTTCGATCACTTCATGAGCTCCAGTCAGACGAATCAACGCTACAACGGCGAGAAGGTTGACTGGATACCGGGCATCAGTCAGTCAGTGAAGAGCTTACCGGCCGGTTTCAGTCACACGTCTGTTGTGTTCCACGGCACCAGAGGACTGACACAGACCATGCACGACTATGGCAAGTTCATGCAGTCCACGCACTCGCAAACTGGTAAACTAGAACGCCGCCAAGATCTGACGCTAGAGTATCTGGGCTACCAAACTGACAATGGCGCAATGTACTGTTACTGCTATGAAGGCTGTGTGAAGAAACTGCTGGACGTCAAGGCGTACCTGGACAGCATCGGCGTGCCACTGGGCTATTTGTCGCATCAAGGAGAATGGTGGCTGAAGGGAACGGACACGATGTGGTGCATCAGCGAGTGGCAACCTAACGAGGCCTACGCTGGCATGTCCGTGCGGGAGTTCCAGCAGAAGTTTGGAACACCGCTGCAGCTGTACGCTCCGTACTTCTGTGGCGACACCAAGTATGCTAAGAGCAATGGCGGAAATTTCTCCATGGTCGACAGCAACCACTCACTGCCAAACTGCGACCCGTACATCTTCAAAACCAGCGAGCCGGGTAAATCTTCCGTGTTTTACAATGCGCTGTTTGAACTGGGCAAGAGCATGGGAATGGAGTCGTTCGAAATCGATTTCCTGAACCAGAACTACAACTGCGTCCCGGCTCTGCGCGAGTCTGTCTTGGCCGTCGAGACCTGGATGCAGGGCTTGCACGAGGCCGCAAGCCAGCAGGGCTTGCCGATGCAGTGGTGCATGGGCACTCCGACGCACGCATTAGCTTCGCTCTACCTACCGACGGTGACGAATTTCAGATCTAGTGGCGACTTTAAGGGAGGATCGAGCTACAAAACTGGCCTGAGCTCCTTCCTGATCTGGGCTGTTGGTGCTGCTCCGTCCAAGGACACATTTTGGACAACGGACAACATGCCTCTGGCAACACAGATCGGCGGATGCCGATCGACCGGCTGCCCCAAAGATCACAGTAACGCATCTCTAGAGCTGCACACAATTCTAGCTATCCTGTCCACTGGACCGGTGGGGTTCAGCGATGCGCCCGGCATGACCAATCGCTCGCTGATCATGCGTACGTGCCAAGACGATGGCAGACTGCTTCAGCCGGCAAAGCCTGCCACGGCCATCGACGCGACAATGAGTGCATTGAGAGCACCATCGGGCAGTATCTACGGCACATACTGTGGCGATGAGCAGCGAGCAACAGCTTTCCTCCTGGTGTCATTCAAGATGACCGAAAGCTGGTCCCTCACTGCTGCCGACCTGTGGTCTCCATCAGGCATCCTAACACCGGATATAGAACCGATGTCCAATGCACTCCTGGTGTACCGCCTGCGTTGGAACGAGCCGCCGTGTATAGATGGCCAACCAGCCACAACATGTGTGAGAACAGTTTCCGTTAGAACTACATCCGAGGATGACGCAATCTGCACCATCCCGGCCAGCCCTATCAAAGACTTGGTGCGTGCCTGACCACCGTTTGGCCAATGACCTGCACAAATGGCTGGGTATTGCTAGGGGAACTGGATAAATACGTGCCACTTGCGGCTAGCCGATTCCCTTACACGTGCAATTGCACAAGCATCGGATTGAGCTTCACGATCCTGGGTAGTGCGAACAGCGAAGTTACATTAACCGCTCTAGGGCCTAACAAAGGAGTTGCTGCGAGCCTTGTGCATACCCAGAGTGTAACCATTGGCGAACAGAAATCAGCAGTGGTCGAGTTCCCTGCTCGTGTTTGAGCATGCTGTTGTGGATAATTTTACGAAGGCTGGTGGATCATGATTGTCTTCTGCTGACCGCCTAGCAAGAAGAAGGGAGAAACGACACTCATTGATACGAGTTATAATCAGCTAAACATCATAATGATAAGTACTGGAGTCAGATACTGCAGAACAACAACGTCAATCAAGGATGATTGCGAAAGCATGTAACTATGAATAGTAGCAAACAAGCCTTGACTACCCTTGTTGTTCTGTGTATTACGCTCTGCCTCCGCCATGGTGTTGAGCACTGTCAGCACACTGGGTGCATCTTCCAGAGTCGGATAATGGATATGTTGAATTATATTCTTTACGCTTTACAGGTCATGTTGATTCGCACGCTTTTCTTTTGTCTCTCGGTTCAAATTGCGAAACTTCACAATATTGTGCGAACTGACGTTGCGCTCACCTTCTCCTCTTTGGTCTGGCCATGACTCGTGTATGTATAATTATGTATGACAGATACATGTATGACGTGAAAGATGGTATGCCCCTCGGTGGTACTGAAGCCTTCATAACTATTATGGGTTCATGTACGTCAGCCACATCTCCAGCCCCTACTGCCTGAAATGATTCAGATTAGGATACACATACAAATCCTAGTTGACGTGGAAGCCCCCCGCCCCAATCCTCCAAAGTTCCGGACAGGTAACTGATTGCCTCTTCATGTCCTGATCCGGCCAAACCCGAGCCAAAATGAAAGACAAGATACCGGCGGTGTCTTGGTCAAGTACATAACCACTGCCACTGCCCGGCACTAGTGCCAGTAGTGGGGGCTTTGGCCTTGGTGGTGCATTCTGTCTACAGTGCAGGAAGACCGGGTGCAGATCGCTTTTATGGGTCCAGTCATGACAGTCATAATCATTGTACAACCAAGACTTACTACACGCGGTCTATACTCAGACCAGGGAGTGGTATTGTACTACTCCCTGACTTAGACCTACCTCGCATAACCGCGCACATCCGTTTTCAACAAAAATATCCCGATAGGCGAGGAAACCGGATAATCGAACGGACATACAATTGTACTGTATTTATGCATGGCATCTGCTGTAAATCGGTAACCAACGATTTTCTTCCGGAAGACGAGGGATCCGGATGAAAGAGGACCGGATAAGCGAGGTGTGACTGCACTACATGATGTACCGGTAGTACAAGATTAGTCATGTACAATGTCAATGTAGATCTACCATGCATCATCCGAGTCTGATCATGTATGAGGGTGTGTGCGGCTTGCTTGTTTGGAGTCGACAAAAGCGAACATAACTGAACGATGGTTTTCTGGCGTCACCCTGCATGAACGAGACGGCGAGGGTCTGTTCTTTGACCTGTGCCTGTGGATCCCCAACAAAGGCAACAGAACGGATTGTTGCTGAGGAATAGGAGACAGCAGCATTGGACTTGTGTAGAAACGCTGCGACCAGACTAGTCGACTGTACATATGTGTGACTGTTCAATCAATCAACCTGCTCGTCGCTGGCAATATTTTTGTCCCTAGATATGACAATTTAGAAAATTTAGTAAAGTCATGCGATGCAAAGACGTGAGAGGCCTGAGCTGAGCGAGTTCTGTAGGACCTTGGCCTGTGCCTCTGCGTGTGAATGCCGCAATGGACTCGCCTTCCACGATCGCTGCCACTAGCGAGCGCCGGAGCGGCGCTGTGTTTGTTACTGTGCCTGTGGATCTGCACGGTGTATTTGTTCACCATCGATGAGGCTGTGCAGCAAGCGGACGGACCCGAAATAGGAGCACATTCTGCTGAACTGAGTACTGCTATTCAGGATGATCAACGTACCGTTATGCAAGTACGACGTTGCTCCTCGGGATATATCCTGCGTCTCGACGCCAGTAGCGCCGGCGAATGCGTGCCGTGCCCCAACGGCACGTTCAGCTTTCCGGGCTGGGTGACGTGCAAGGCCAGGCTAACGTGCGACGACCTGGCGCGCGGTGCCGTGCGCATTCTTCGCTACCTAGCGTCCGGTGCCGTGAAGCATGTGTTTCTCGGACGGATCATTGACGGCTCGCTGCCGGTCGCCTACGCCTTGAGGAGCCAGCATCACGAGGATTTCGGTCATCACATTGCTGTATTGAGAGAGCTTGCGCCGAGTCCTAGAGTGGTTCAGTTGCTCGGCGAGTGTCGGGATGAATACGTCGTGACGCAGTACTGGAAGCTGGGCAACGCCGGCGAGCTGGAGGAGAGGCTAGCACTCCGCGAATACGCCGCATTCAACACGCTGTCCGTCCGTTTTGGCCTGGCTATGGACTACGTTGCCTGCTTGGTCATGCTGCACGAACACGATTACGTCATGTGCGACGGCAACGACGTCACCAAGCTGCTGTCTCAGTTTCTGATCACGGACGACTGGCGACTGGTGGTCAACGATTTGGACGCAGCTGCTCGCATCAACGTTGAACGGGATGGTGCGCGGGCGGGTATAAAATGCGGCAAGCGGCAGCTATTCGGCGGTGAAATGATAGCCCCGGAGCAACTCTGGCCTTTCGGCCCGGCACCATTCAATAACTCCCGGATGCCGGCGTACGATGAGAAGATTGACATATGGCGAATACCACCGGCAATACATGCCCTGCTCGGCCCAGCATCGTTGCGCAATACGAGTGACGTTCTGAGTCAGCTGGCAGGAGTTTTTGCCCGGTGTCGCAGCAGACAGGCAGCGGCCAGACCAAGCGCTGTGACTGTCTGGAAGGAAATGGCAGCAGTGCAGCGGAAACTGAATCTCACTCGTCTTCATGACATGCGCTGCTGACAGTTACCGGCGTCCATCATGATTATTCATACTATTTTCATGCCAACGCTGCTCGGTGCAAGTAGAACCATTTTCCGTGAAACTGAGGTGAATACGATCGTGCTCGGTGTTGTGAACTTGCTGCAAACTGACCCTTTGTGATCACCTATTTATTGCCATCTATTGAGTTCAAACAGGTGCATGGTATAAAACTATTTTTTTAAAGAAATGATGTGGTTGCCCATATTACCATACACACTATGTGTGGTGGTCTGTGAAAGACTTACTCGAGGACTGGTTCGTACTGAATCTAGATCCGGTGCGGAGTTGAGCCAACCTTGTAGATAATGACCCTCGGCCGGGTATATGAGAAAAGTGTTGTTATACCCGAGTTGAGGTTTTGTTATACTCAGGCCCGAGGTTGTTGTTATCCACAAGTGTGCTTGTGCATGCAATGCTAAGAGTTTGAAAGTACTGAAATGTTCCTACCCTTCACTACAGTCTACAGGCAGGCTTTCCCCAGATTTCTACAGGGGTTCACGCCTGGCAGAGCGGTTAGTTCCGCTGCCTTGCGACAGAACCAGACGTTTCCGGGTACAACCCAGCAACTTCCGACAAAGAAGAAAAGGTTCGTTCGTGCACCTCTCTTCAGGCCAATGGCCCGTGGGAGACATCGGAGTAACAAAGAGTGGCTACTTATTTTTTATGGCATTGGAGTACTGTATTGCCATGCCTTTTTAGCGACGTCAGGGTACGAGTCAAAACACATAGTGTGCGGTGAACTAATGCATACAAATGCCCGCCGCCGTATGCACGTGGCAGTGCAGGTAAGCGGGTGGAACTGTGCACTATCCAGCGCAGCAAATCTGACCTTTTTAATTTAACTATGCAATAGCCTTGGTTCACTTCTACATGTATATTGTGCAAGAATGATTAGATACATAATAACCGTTCTAACCTCATTCCAAACCGGTGCATTCTAATCTACTTGTAGGTCGTATCTAAAACTGCTAAAAACAAAACAAAAAGTAAAGTGACTCTCTGCAGAAAATGCGGAATCCTAGAGAAAGTAAATAAAATGTTCAAACCAATAGAGGCTGGGGAAGCTCATCAGAAATAGGGTGCATGCAGTCTATTATTAACACTAAAAAAATAAAAAATAAAAATAAAAGCTCAAAGCCTCAAGCTGCTGCTGTAGCACTATTACTAATGGCTATCATTTCAAATGTGGAAAAAGACCACGGGTTAATTAGAACAGATCTCAGCTGACCTACCGACATAGAATACTACCTTGAAAGAAAAGAGGCACCCAGCGCCCACACTTCAAAACATAAGAAAATAGATATCAGTGATGCGTCTCGAAGTACTAGCACCCGAGACTAACTAGCTCTATGCTGCCGTTACTCATTGGTTTATTACACGCCCGTGGCATCAAAGCTCTGCTTTCTCAAGGCCAGCGTCGCCGCCCGTTTCGGTTCCGTCTCCTTCCGGGATTGCGGTGCCGCAATTGCCGTGATAAATCTTGACGGGACCGTCGCAGTTGAAGAACTTCTCAAACACGTCCTGGTAGCCTCGTTCCCACCACCGGCACAGCTGACGGTTCCAGTTACAGGGTAGTGTGTGAAATAAGTGCTCGTGCTCCACGACAAGCAACGAGTACAGGTCCTGATCACCCAGGTGACCCTTGAATTGGTACTTGTCGGCGAGTTGGGCCACCAGTTTGGGGTCCAGGACGTTGCGATAGGCATCCGCGTCTCTCATTTTCTCCAGGTCCTGGAGCATGACTCCGCTGTTGAAACCCGGTAAGCCATCCGGTGGTGGCGCCCCCACCCTGGTTCCAGGATTGGCTTGCCGGTGCTTGTGAAATATGTGATAGTAGACAGGCTGTGCGTCGTGCGCCAATCCAATCACCTGCTCATCCGTGAACTGCTCAAACCTCGACCAGAGTCCACGGATGTCGGCCAAGAACTTCAAATCGGTGTCGGTGATTATCACCCGCTTGACGGTGTCCGGCAGCACACGATAGACAACGGGTCCGACAAAAAAGATGGCGTCATGGTAGTAGCTAGTGTTGCTGCTGCTGAAGTGTGATCGCATGTCGGTGACAAACTGCAGGATCTGATCCGTGACGTCGTCCCGATCATAAAACACCACTTGTACGCGTGGCGCCACGCTCTCGGGGAAATACTTTCTGACATGCCGCTTGCCACCATCATCCACAATGGCGTGTATGGTTATAGCTGCATCCGTAGTGGCCAACAGGGACTCAGCATAGATGGTAAATCTACGTGCGATATGCCAGTTACTGTCCACGTTCGTCAAAATAAACATCAAGTGAATTCGCTCATCGTCGTCATTCACGGAAGTGCTCTCCCCAGGATTGACACCATCGAGGCATACCAGCAGGACCAGCAATAAAAGTGTCTTGCAGATCATGGGTGGCAGACTGGGTAACATGACTTGGAAGTTCGTACTAACTACCGTACATGCATGAGCTAAAATCTTTCCATTCTTTCCATTGATGACCAGAATAATAATAATTGTTTCCTTGATTTTTGAAAGGATATCCGATGTGTTCACCTGATCCTTGCAGAACAGTCCGGCAACACCGATTATAAGAAAATAATTGCCCTCAATTACAACTCACAGCATGGAGAAAATGAAACTGAGAAAGAAAAGGTCTTTATTGGCCTCCACGTTCGCTGCAAAAGGCACACAACTGAGCAAAGCTGCCAAAAGGGCGAGAGCACTTAGTCTTGTTTTGAAGTGGAAAAAGAAGCCACCACCCGGATTTGAACCGGGGATCTCCTGTTTACTAGACAGGCGCTTTGCCAACTAAGCCATGGCGGCAGATATCTCCGGTGTGACCATGGTGACAAGAAAAAGAAAAAATCCTTTTCATGAATAAAAGTACAATGACTCGAACATCTCAGCTGAAGATCTTTTCAAAAATCGAAAAATTTCGAAAAATGACCACGAGGTACTTGCGCATGTGGCTGCCTTGACTCGAGCATCTCAGCTTCTCTGCTCTTTTGTATCTTGATCGTTTCTCTCAGTCTCATACTCTCAGCCCTTCTCTAGATTTCCGACCTTGGATTGGGGTACCATGACGTTGTTTTTGTAGATAAACTTCCAGGACTTGTCTTGCATGCAGCGTAGAGCTTCGTTTCTGCTGTGTGTGAAGCACACCGTTTTCGTGGACTTGATTGCATCGGATACATGTACGTCCATCAACAACATGTCGTTACATTTTGCTACCTCCTTACGTGGATTTCAAGCATGCAGAGCTCCGATCTCGTTTTCTAGCCCGTACAATATTGCAATACGAAGGTAAAGCGTCTTCATGTTGATTCTGAGTCTTTACTGGACTCTTTACGCCTATTTTCTGTGTAATTATAAGTATGGCACTGAATGAAAATACATGGTAGAACGTGGTCGGACTTGACCCTAGATATTGGTCACCTGGAAGTTAGGCAAAATGGCTTGTGCCAATACTGTGTTGTACAGTGCCGTGTAGGACCGTGGACGATACACCACTGTACACACCTTCACCAGATTTGAGAATGACGCGGCATGTGCTTCCCGTGAAAGCGTGCGGGTCGTCTGATCCTATCCAATTCTGTCTTGCATGATCATACGGTGCAAGGCTACCGGTGTATTAGACGTAGATGTGCGGGGGTATGGCTTGGCACTCGGGCCAGTCGCTGTGAGACCGACCGATCGCCGCCCCACACCACTACATAAACATGTAGTCCCTACAGTCCATTTCAAAACTATAGACGCGTACCTAGGCAAAAACCGTTATGCCAGTATCTATACCACATAAAATCTGTGATCACTTTGTGCCAGGGTCCGCACCACTCCTTGAATTCCTTGAAAGTCCTTGAATGTCAAAGCCGGATTTGAAAGTGCTTGAATATCCTTGAATTTTCGTGTGGGTGCTTGAATTTTTGAAAAAGTGTGTTTTTCCTTGATTTTGGGTTTGAATGCGGTAGATCTACTCACGTTCATGCAGTAGGTCTACGCGCACTGCTGGGTACCCGTAACCGGTACCGTAGTCCGTAGATCTAGTACCAAGAGTGGATCCACTCTTGGTAGTACTGATAGGGATCTCAGCGCGTGAGCTGCGCAGCCTGTTTGCGCAGGTGAGATTTTCGATCCCAAACGCGTCCAGTGCAGAAACCCTGAAAAATAACATTTTTTCGAAATAAATCAGCTTAGTCACGTGAGTGAAGTGAAGAAGACGGTAGAAATGGCTGAATATTGCGTCCAGGAAAGCACGTTCTACGGCCATTTCCAAGCTACCTATCTCCCAGGCACTCTCTCAGAGGAACTATGGAGGGTCAAAGAGCACAATAGTTCACTCTTGGACGCAGCGTGAACACCTCTTCTTCTGAGCGCGATGTCTTCTCTCTGAGTGATAATGGCGGCGATGTTCCAACCAACGGTTAGCCCACCAACTAATGTCCTTGAATGTCCTTGAAAAAATGGGGTTTGGGGCCCTTGAAAACCCTTGAATAATATTTTCATGACTTGGTGCGAACCCTGTGTGCATAAATTTTTCCAAATTGGGCGTCTGTTATCCAATCGTTTAGAAACTATATGAGAGTAATTGTCAAGTGGACCTGAGCAATATTCCGAAAGCTATTCTCAAAAAGTTCCAGCCAAATTTGAAATATTTCAAAAACCCTACGCGTCTATAGTTTTGAAATGGACTGTAGATTAACTTCTAGGATGAATCAGCGATGGAAGTGGCCCAGCTGACAGTGGATTTCAAAATCACAGACCATCTTTCCACACACACACACACAAAAGACTGCTGGGCCCGCATCAAGCATACATAACCAGGAGTATGCCGCTGTGATCTTTTCTTCTCTATGCGCCAGACGCACGGCACACCGCCTAAAAGCACTGCGCTGTCCCTGTGGTTTGAAGCCAACGTTTCGTCGTGCGGAAATGAAGTTCATGCGCCTAAAATTAACCGATCGCGCCGGCACTCAAGTGAACCAAGCGAAAACAGGTGTGCTTGTCCACGCGATTGTGTTTTTTGTGTGCATAAGTGCAGGGCGTGATATGAGTAGAGAAACAAATGAAGTTGAAATACGTGGGTGCAATGTGCAGTGGACATTTCTGGAGACTAGCTGTAGCCAATTAAAAGTTGTGTATGACTAGGCGACTCTAGGAGCGAGGTATCAGAAGTGTGAATTGGGTTTTTTGAATGGAGCAGGGCTCTCATCTCATTTCTATTCTCCTATCTTACTATGTTGCAGAAAAACGGATTCTAAACAACGGAACCACTATGAAACGCTGGGTGTCTCCGCCAAAGCAACGCCAAAAGAAATCAAAGCCGCCTTCTTCGCCCTATCTAAAAAGGTTTGTTGACACCTGTGTCATGTGTGTGTGTGTGTGTGTGTGTGTGTGTGTGTGTGTGTATGTGTGTATGTGTGTGTGTGTGTGTGTGTGTGTGTGTGTGTGTGTGTATGTGTATTAGTATGTGTAATTGCACACTACACGTATGTTGCGGCCAGAGTCAGCGCCACCCATGCGATGGCTATTGCCATGCCAGTGTCTCTAACTTTCCAGTTGTCATGGAATGCCTACAAAAAGCAATCCAATTCCATCACATGTGCAGCTACGTTCAGTATAGAGGTAATTGTAATTTCACAAATTGTCGGTGTACTTTTATTTTCGGTACTTTCGGTGCATCTGTTTCATACCTAAAATTTCAACACACCGAACAAACACTAACACACGTATCCAATAGGTAACTGTTTCTCTGTACCTAAAATTTCTGTTCACCTGACCTGGCCTTTTGCCCTCATACCGAAAATATTGAGCACCTAAAATTTCTGAAATTAGAGTGTGCGAAAGATGTCATGGTGGCAAGCTAACGGATTTGCCAATGGGTACTAAGCATACTGTGCAAGACGGTTGTTTTGCTGAAGCTAGTGCATTACTGCCCCCGCGTCTTTGCCACTCCATACACAGCATTCCAACTGATGACGTAATTGCGTAAGCTCAAGAGTACTTCCTCGTGGAACAGAACACTTCGCGCCTATTTATTCACATCCTAAGGAGCTGCTGGTTGTGTTTCTCTGCACAATGGTCCGGTTGGAGTCACACAACTCGGAGTCACCATTGCTCTATTCCTCAAAGCTCGATTCACCGGAACTGGCGGATTGATTTAAGTCATGAAGTGTTAGTTTCCGGAAGAAGTACAAGTATGCAAGCTCCCAAGAGTGTGCAACTCTGAATACCCTTTCTATGGGGTCTGCCGACGGCGAAAACTTACATCACATGTACACCCTTTTGTTATTCTTCCATTCCCTGTGATTACGGGATTCTATTGACGATCGCAACAAATGCGACACAATGGCTTAGGACCATGGACGCGCTTGAGGTCAGCACTCACCTTGTGGGCATTGTCGTGCTATCTCGGTCCAGAGAATACCCAGCAATGTACCGTGTGTCGGTGTCGTTTTGTTTGTGTTGGCAGCATCATCCGGACCTGAATTCTGGCAACGCGGAGAAGTTCGTTGAGGTAAGGTGGGTGGTTGTGTGATGTATGCGTGGGATATGGGTGTGTGATGTGAATGTGTGATCATCCGACGTGGGATTTATCCAGTAGTGATCTCATTCTTGGGTTTCTGAGTTGCTTTTACTCTCCCAACTCCCCCCTCTAGCAGATACGATGCAACTGTGTTTCTTTGTTGCTTGTTTATCCTGCATCCACGCCTGGCCACAGATCAAGGAAGCCTACACGCTGCTCATGAATGAGAAGAAACGCCGTGAATACGACCTGAATATAGAGCGGCCGTTTGCGACCCGCGAAACATACTCAAGCCATCCGCCTCACCGGGCGACAGGCAACAGGACTGGCAGACCAACGGGCGGTCAAGTTCGGCGCCCGCTTCGTACGCGTATGGGCGGGGAGGATGTCTCCGGCTCAGGACAGTTCACAGGCTTCGAAAGCGATGAGAAGCGCTGGAGAGCGTACCGCGCCGCACGGGAAATGCGCCGGAACGCCGAGGGCGATGCGCCGCACTTCGCCGAATGGTGCGTATTGTGTGTGAATGGTCTGTGTGTGTGTGTATGTGTGTGTGTCTGTGTGTGTGTCTGTGTGTGTCTGTGTGTGTACGTGTGCGTTGTGTGTGTGTGTGTGCGTGTGAATGGTGTGTGTGTATGTGTGTGTCTGTGTGTGTGTGTGTGTCTGTGTGTACATGTGTGTGTGTGTATGTGTGTGTCTGTGTCTGTGTTTGTGCGTGTGCGTGTGTTGTTAATATTGTTGTTGTTTTTGTTGTTGTAGAAGATTATCATGCATAGGTGTATCTTGTCCTTGGCACATTGCAGTGTGCAGTGTGTGATCAGTGCCTTATCCTGGGCACTCTGCTGCTCTGTGCCTTATCCTGGGCACTCTGCTGCTCTGTGCCTTATCCTGGGCACTCCGCTGCTCTGTGCCTTATCCTGGGCACTCTGCTGCTCTGTGCCTTATCCTGGGCACTCTGCTGCTCTGTGCCTTATCCTGGGCACTCTGCTGCTCTGTGCCTTATCCTGGGCACTCTGTTGCTCTGTGCCTTATCCTGGGCACTCTGCTGCTCTGTGCCTTATCCTGGGCACTCTGCTGCTCTGTGCCTTATCCTGGGCACTCTGCTGCTCTGTGCCTTATCCTGGGCACTCTGCTGCTCTGTGCCTTATCCCGGGCACTCTGCTGCTCTGTGCCTTATCCTGGGCACTCTGCTGCTCTGTGCCTTCGTCCAGCCTCTGGTCGGCTGCTCTACAACGATCAGTACTGTCATAGTTTGCATTTGATGCATGCCACGTGTACTGTTCATCTGCCCTGGCATTTACCAGTGTCTATGGAGAGCATAGGAATGCTGATCAAGTCACTTCTATCATGTCTGTCATCTGCTCGCCGACAATTTGCATCGCTAGTGTGGGGTGTGGTGTTTCTTTTTCAACCGATCTCATGCTTTTCTAATTTGCTCTTCTTGTTCTTGTTCTGCGGCTTTTGTTTTTCATGGTGGTGGTGCTGCTGCTGTTCTTGTTGTTGTTGTTATTGTTGCTGTTGTGTGTAGGCAGAGAGAGCAGGAAGTAGAAGGATGGAGACGAGTGTAAGATTCGAATGCATCATTGTCCGTATGCGTCTGACTGCAGGGCCTTGTCTTACACTGGAGCGGGGTCTGGTCTCGTGTGGCCGTCCGATACTGTAGAACGGGTAATAGGCTATTCATACTACGTTACAATATGCGTCACGTTTTGGAATACGACGTACTGACAGACATCGTTTTCATGCAGGTGCATTCACACAGGCACGCATACGCTGCTCGTACAGCTGTGTGTACAGCTTCTTTCGGACACAAACTGCTGGGAACGACAGAACGAAACTCGGTATAGGGGTCTGGATACGTCGTCTACGTTTTCGTATCAGGGGTACGATTTTCCCGCCACGTTCCATGTTGTCATGGCTATCCGGACGAAAACCTCACGTACGCCACGTTTTGGGCGTAGTGTGAATGGCCCATAATTTTAGCGACGTAAAACCCTAGCAAATTTAGCGATCTACTCATTTTCGCTGAAGTTCAAGTCGCTAATCCGTTGAGACATCAGTTTGACTCGTAGTGCACTGGTGATCCGTGAGTAAAATCGCTGCAAATCGCTAAAATAAAACGTCGCTAACCGGTTGACAATGGGAAAACGCTAAAATTAATAGTCGCTAAAATTACCCGTTCTACAGTATCCAAACCTGCCCTCAATCCCTCAATCGCAAACTTTGTCTTACACTGGAGCGGGGTCTGGTCTTATTTGGCCGTCCGATATCCAAACCTCCCCTCAACCCGAGTGCAAATCTTTATTAGTGTGTGCATTTTTTTGCCTGTATAGTCTCAATTGCCTAGCGCTGCATGCTTTCACGGGTCACTATATACTTTGCTGTTGCTCTTACCTATGTGTCTACTCTACGTGTAGAATTCCGAACAATCCATACGCCCAGCAGCAGAGAAGCTTCAATCAGAGCAAAGTCCAGGCCACTCGTACTGCCGGCCTTCTTCTGGCAGTGGTCGTCTTCTTCTCTTTCTTTATGGCGTAAGTGCTGCACCATCGGCGTGCCATTCATGAATGTGAATACGCAGCTGTTCAACGAGAGAGTCTGTTCACAGGACCAACACACTTTCAACACACCGTACATAGTATGTAGTAGTGCAGAACCTCGCTTTTTGCAGGGTTGTATCGGTGGTGACAATTGGAGAGAAATCCCGAGTTTTGAGTACTGTACTCCAATTATCCACAATGGAATATCCGCGCACTCTTCAAACCCTGCACAGCGCATATAAATGTCATGCTGACATGCTACTGTAAAACCGGAAACTTTCGGTGGAGTTTTATTTCGGTAATTTCGGTACAGGTAATTTTTACCTAACGTAAGACGCATAAATGACATATATTCAATACCCATGAGCCACATTGTATATACCGGTATTATGATATAATTATCATAATTATATCATCGTTCTAGCTCAATTTTTTCCCCTGTCATAGTCCTGTTTATCATGTTCAGCATAAGCGAAGTTGTGAATCATGCTTGCATGGTTGACTTCAACGCGTACATGCAAGTAAGGCCACCCTTTCTTTTTTCGTTGTTTAACGTCCGCGCCCGCGTACCTTTTTGCCTCCGACCGAAAAAAAAACAAGAAAGTAGTAGTACCAATAATATGCGAAGTTGTAAATACATGATTGTGTAGTTTCACAGTGTGCCGATCATGACCTTAAACTTATAATCTTGCCTCCCGGGCATGCCTTTGTCTTGTGTTCTTTTTCTTTTTTTGTTGGCTTTTAAATATCGTACGGTGTGTGTCCTAATAAAAATCCAGATGTAATGAATTCATGACATGCTAACTCCATGCTATGTACCTGTTTTGTTGGATTCATCAGGCATGTGCTCCAATGTACCATCAAAGAGTGTTGTTCTATGCCTGCAAGTGCCGTTAGACCCAGAAATATTGTGTATATCACATGCTTTACTGGTCAAAATGTTTGATTGGGGTTTCCAGTTTTTGGAATGGGCTTTTGTTTTTTTTCCGCCCTCCCGCGTACCTTTTCGCGAAAAAAAGGACGTTAAACAATGAATTAACAAAGGGTGGCCTAATAATAATAAAAATAATAAGACGCACCAAAAATATGCGTACATGCATGCCGACTGCAGTACGGAAAACTGGTGTACCGAAATTTTCGCACTAACGAACCATTAATTTTGGGGAAATACCAAAAATATTACACCACCGAAAATTCCCAGTTTTACAGTGCACGGCCATATTGTGCAAATGTTCTGTCATTTTCTCTACAGTCGACTGATCGGTGGGCCATTCGGGCTATTCTATATCTTGTCTGTACCAATATGCGCCACCCAGCCAGCACGTCAGTCTCTGCTCCTCGCACATTCCAAAACCGCTAAATCCGGTCGTAAATGCTTGATGGGTCTGGTTTGCATCATTTTGCTCACCTGGAACCCATGAGTGAGTAGAGCAAGAGGCTCCGGGTAGAGACAGATTCCACTGGGCATTCGGTGTGTGAAAGCCGTAGAGGGATTTACGTGTCAAAGCTGCCCTCGCTCCTCAGCACTACGACATACGGATTTTCATATGTAATTACGTGAAGCGAAACCCCCTAATGTGTGAGAACGCAGGGGAAGTAGCCTAAATTTCGGTGGCTTTCATCGACGAAGTAAACGGTGTATCTTGCAAGTGTGAGTGTAAAATTAAAACTGGAAATACTTTGCTTTTTAAAGGGTGTCTGCTTCTCATTTATATGCCTGTGGTGGCACATGCGTGCAGCTAGTGGGGTTTCTCGGCACTTGTGCCAGTGGTTCTGAGACTTATCCCCTCACCCCCACCGTTAGGCGCTGCATTTGCCGCTAGTGCTTACCGGATGTTACCGGCCGCTGTGAGTTCCCTTCGGGAACGCACACGATAAATCGCTTTTTGTGGTGTTGAGCTGACACTGTCTGTCTCTGTGCGTTCTCTTTGCTGGCCGTCTGTAGGATGGGCAAGTCAGCGCCCAGCGAAGACACCAAGAAGAGTCAAGCTAGCACTGCGTCGCCAATACCAGACTATCACCCTCGCCCACCGGGTGCGGACTCATCACAGTAAGCAGCCGGTCGCAGTTTTTTTCTTTTCTTTTTTTTTTTTTACAAAAAAAAACACACACACCATTTGACGACACAAAGCAGCAAGGCAGCGATGAGACATATGGAATGGCAGGATTGGGGGAGAGGCAGGGGCAGCTTGACCGACCATAGGGTCTCGGCTTCATTGCAACCCACGGGCTCCACAAAAACAGAAGATTACAGAAAATACGCAGGAGGGGGGGGGGGGGGGGGTAGATAACTGGGGATTACGGGGAAAAGTATGCACAATAAAAAGTGTGCTTTGTAACAACTACAGTGAAATCTGTCTAAGACAACCACTCAAGGGACCTTCAAAACGTGGTCTCTGTTGCCAGGTGGTCACCATATCCGAGTGGTCGCCTTGACAGGTTTTGCTGTACCGCTAAAATCAGTCGTTTACAGTACATGTGCTTTCGCTCTCAGCAGCCAGTTTAGAGTGGCCTCACATCTTGGTCATGTGACTTGGTCATGTGACTTGGTCATGTGACTTGGTCATGTGACTGAATTGTGTAGAAACTACTGTATAGCAGACAATTTTAGGACGGAAATATTTTCGGACAAAGCCGAATCTCGACCTTTCGTACGGATTTTATTTTCGTAGTGCTGCATGCTAAATGCACGTGTTCGCATGTATAGTGTACGTAACTTCACAGGAACAAATTTGAGTACGGAAATAATTTTAGTACAAAAGAGGCCGTGTACGAAATCGTACGAAAATAAATTCCGTCCGAACATTTCCTGCTATACCGTACTTACTACTACAGTGTACTAGAAAGTGATCATGGCATGTGGACAGTGGAACCAACATGGCCGACATCATGTGACCCATAGATGCAGGGGTTGAGTAAAGTTGGAACCAGGGAGTCGTACTCAAACTAGGGAGGTGACACGGCACAGAAATCCGTGTCACAGGGGTTGACTCGCACCCGTAACCCCTCGTTGTTATTTTTGGAATAGTTCAGTCCAATCCAGTCCGAAAGGTCATACTCGGATCGGCTCGCCTTCTGTACTTCACCTCCAAGCGTGCAACGCAAGACCCGCAAAGTATGATTTTTCTGTGGGGAACGATTTTGCCATTGATCAAGTTTTTATTGGAGTGCTCAGGCATACTACGATTGCTGAGACGTCCCGAGCACGCTTGTTCAGGTTCTCTATTTTTGACGAGCCAGTCCTACAGCCCCCTACATTGTATCTAACGACGTAGGAGCTGACAATGTAAGAGGATTTCCCTGGAAATAATGATGATGGTGGTGTGACTGCTGCAGGAAACATGCTGGCTGTTTATGACAGTATGACTACAGTCCATTCAGAAAAAAATGAACTTCTAGCTTTTGGCCATAAATGGGTGAAACGTTGAGTTTTTTTAGAATTTTTTTCTGCAATCCCATATGGAATCCTCTTCCAATTATGTTTCTGAAGTTTTTTTGTCAAAAAAGCAAGCCATAGCAAGAATAGGATTTCGGCCAGGTTTTGCCCCAAAAGCACTGAATTGGGAAAAACCATCAAAATCCAGGCCGTTTGACCCCGCCTGCAACAGTGCATTCTGCGGTTCGAACCCCAGTTCAGGCACCCTTTTTGGACCCTTTTTCAAATTTCAAAGTTCGCAGCACTGCACTGTGTACGATGAAATCACGAAAAATCGCCAAATACGGGAGCTCGCCAGAGCCAGGACCCATCTTTTTATGAATGGACTGTAGATGTACAATGTAGCTCTCTTGTATGGTACTTAACCCCTGCTATAAATGTGTTGTTTAGGAAGACTGGTGTATTGTGCAAGTCATAAAGAAGAAATGGGGCAGATACACGACTTACAATTTTCAAAAACCAGCTTCGTGTTATGTGCAATTTAGGTCAATTTTTAGTATTCGGAATAACCTAGGATACGACTCTGAACAGTTCTGAACAGTTTTTTTTTTTTTTTTTAGTATTGACACAGCCCTACTGGAAAACAGGTGGAGAACAAAAAGAAACGAGGAAAAGGACAAAACATAGGGGATGTAGGGACGACGTGCTGATGTGCTGGGAGCAACTCAACCGACCAGAGGTCTCGGCGTCAGCGTTGCAACTAGGCATCGAAAAATGTGTGTGTGTGTGTGTGGGGGGGGTTGCACAAGAACAACTGCAAAGCAAACAGAAGCTAGAGAATACCACAAATAATAACTTGGTGCGAAATAATGAGAAGAAAATAATGACGCCCAAAAGCGCTAAATACAAAATTAAGAAAAAGGAAAATAATAAACCACATAGCGCTAAAGCTGCACCAAATAATAATTTAAATTATAACTAAACCGGGTGGAAAACCAAGAAATCATAACAAACAAAACAAACTAAATAAAAAATTAATAATAAAAAATTAAATTATCCATCCACACAAGGGGAGCATACTCGAGGATGGGTCGCACAAATCCCTTGTACGCACAAAGCCGGCCATGGTAATCTAACACCCGGCAAGCCCGACGGAGAACACCCAGTCTCTGGCAGCCACGTGTCGCAATTGAGTGCAAGTGATCCCGGAATGACAGCTTGGCGTCAAATGTCACTCCAAGAAGCTTGATGGTGTTGGCATCCGGAACCGCGATACCTCCAAACTTGATGTCAGGGACAGCAGGGTGTGTGGCTTTCGTAGTCATCAGCAGCTGTTGCGATTTAGAGGGCTCGAATCTGATGCGCCAGCGTTCTCCCCACTCTTCAAGACGCTTGAGGCTGGATTGCAAGGCGGCAGTCATGTCATGCATATTGTCCTGCATGCGGATGAGGCTGTAGAGGGTTGTGTCGTCTGCAAAGGAACTTAGTCGCGTCTCGGGAGACAGGCACTGATCCAGGTCAGACACATACAAGAGGAAAAGTGTCGGGCCAAGGATACTGCCTTGGGGCACACCTGCTGTTATGGGCGCCGGAGAGGATGAGTCGCCGTGGACCAGGACTGATAGTTTGCGGTTCAGGAGGTAATCCTGCAGCCAGTGCAGCAGGCAGCCACCAATGCCAACGTTCTTGGCTTTGAAAATCAGTCCAGAGTGTGATACCCGATCAAATGCTCCTGCTATGTCCACCGCCACCATGTGAGCGTACCCTCCATCGCTGACAGTCTTGACCCACTCAGTGTGCAAAGCAGTGAGGATGTCGCACGTGCCTCTTCCTTGCCGAAAGCCATATTGACTGTCGGGCAGAATATCGAAACGCTCCAGATAATTCACGAGCTGCTTGTTTACTATGCTCTCCATTACTTTTGACAGGATGGATAGTAGTGAGACTGGCCGGTAATTCTTGGGATCCGAGCGGGGGCTCTTCTTTACCGCAACACTACACGCCGTCTCATAACTGCTGCTGTTGCCATCACTGCTATCAAGAAGTTCGGACATGGCAGGAGCTAAACAAATTGCTGCTAGTCTTTCAAAGAATACTGGCGAGTGATGGGCTGTAAACGAAATGTGCTGCCTCAAAAATTTAAAAAACTAGACACCCATGCGTTGCACGCTTGGAGGTGAAGTACAGAAGGCGAGCCGATCCGAGTATGACCTTTCGGACTGGACTGGACTGAACTATTCCAAAATAACAACGAGGGGTTACGGGTGCGAGTCAACCCCTCTGACACGGATTTCTGTGCCGTGTCACCTCCCTAGATTGAGTACGACTCCCTGGTTGGAACCAACATGGCTGTCCCGTATGGTCATGTAATAGATGAGCAACAGCTCTATACGAACGAGGAAAGCATGCGCCTATGGCTTTCAGCAAGAGTACCGGTACATAAACCAGAGTTTGCACCTTCAGGAGACAGTTGATCGGCTGTGAGAGCTCTGTAATGCACTGCTTGGCAACCTCCTCTCCGAGCTGTCGTGAGCAGTATGCAAAGAGCTGGTCTGCTGAGAAGTCGGAACGTGAGCGGAAATGCTGGATGTGCTGATACGCTTCAGCACACGGTCGGCTGGTTGCGATTACGATAGCACCAGGTAGTAGTAAATGGTTACTGCTGCTGCTCCTCGATATTACAGTTTGGGCTGCTGATTCGTTCCCAAACCCATCTTTGCCAAGTTCGTCAATTCCATCGATGACAATCAAAATCTGGTCGGAATGCTCAGAGAGGTAGCTTAGCAGTGGAGTAGAGGTGGTAGGAGGTAGAAAGAAATGTTTACTGACGGGAGAGGAACCGCTCAAGCATGTTCATCTTTTCTTCGTGCATGGCCCTCTTCTCTGCTGCACGATCCTTTTCACGGCGCTCACGATCTTCCAGAAGTTTATCAATTGGTGAAGAGATCTTGCAGTTTTGTGTTGATTTTGGAAGTCGCCGACGTGGGCGAGCTGTTGGAGTCTCCTTCTTCAGCATAGCTGCAGTACTAGTAGTGACTGCAGTCATACCAATAGTGCCTGATGTAGTAGCAGCTGCATTAGGGTCAGGGCCAGCAGGGGCTGCATTGTCAGGACCAGCAGTGACTACACCAGTCAGAAGGACGGCAGACTGGGAAGGGGGATCGCTTACAGGACTCTCACTGCCGCGATCCCACTCGTCTTCACCAATCACTGTCACTGGCTGAATGCTACTTGATCCCGAACTTGCAATGACAGCGTCCGTGGTAGCGTACATAGCAGCAGCAGCTGGTTCACCTGCGGGAGTCACTGCTGTGCACATGGGGACAGCATTGCATGAAGACCTTGAAGATCCCATGCACAGTGCTCGTACGTTGGGCCTCTCGCCCAAGATCTCGCCAACCTCGGCTTCGTACCTGAAGGTCTTCCTCGGACCTTCTTTTCCTGTCCCTTCGTTGTAATCCTTGACCGAGAGATATCTGTTCTTCAGGGCTTTCCATTTATTTTCCACTCTCTCGCTGTCGACATGACTCATCCCCCTCTCCTTGCAGTCGTCCGCCACTTCTGCCCACACTTGTTTATTTCTTTTCCTAGGATCGCTCAGGAATGGGTAGTGGGCTTTGAAAATTTGCAGGAAATCTCTAGTTTCAGCGTCTGACCATGTACTCCGCTTTACGACCTTTGTGGCTTGTCCTGACGGAGGTGAAGGCTCCATGTCGGCAATAACAGTTATTGGGCTGAACGCGTGTACGAAAGGACAACAACAACAACACCCACAGATCTGGTAATACTAATTATCAGCTCCGAGCGGAAACTCAACTGCGGCAATTAGGTCTTCGGGAAGACGAAAGTAGCAACTACATGCAGTTGTAGCCCTGCTTTCGCGCCACGCCGGCCAGGGAGGCTCTTACCGCGCTTGAGTCATGACCAGACCGGTAACACACTGACTGTGCAATTCTGGCGCCAGAATTAGAGAAATTCCGCCCTCTCTTCAGAATTGGCGGATTCGGCGGAATTGGATAAAATCAATTCTAACGACAGAATTTGTCACTTTTTGTGTAATCGAACTGTGCATCAACAATAACTAATTCTAGAATTGACCGAAATGCGTGTAATCGAAAGCGCCCGTAGATTAATTATTTCTTCTTCCTTGGATCTTCTAATAAGAACACAAGTTCTCATTCTTCTTGTATTGCTTGCACACCTCCTAAGCTTTGTCTCCACTTGGTGTCCCATGTTTTTTGGAGTTTGGGCAGGTCTTCAAACCCTTAGTGTCATTGATACCAAGCCATCTGTGAAATGTGCACAACGTATGCTTATTTATGGCACATATACATTTCAGATGGGCACCAACATTTCCATGATGGAAGTTGGATAGGTAGACATCACTTTGGCATGAAAAAAGAATTTTCCGAAAATTATGCCTAAGCCACCTTTTTGCTTGGCTCGACTCATCTTACAATATTCATTATCTTGCTTTGACCAGAAATAGGCTAACGGTTGATCTTTTCAGAATTTCTTTTGGCTGTGCAGTGTGGAATGCTCTGCCAAATTAAGTTTTTTGGGTTTATTTTATAACTTCCAGACCGTAGGTAGACCATGACAAAGTTAATTTTTGGTATGCTGACATCCTGGTCCCAAACCGTGCCATTTCCAGCTGAATTATAATCGGCCTTTCATCCCAAATTGATCTGATCCCAATTGGTCTGATTTACGCACCTCCCAACGCTTTAGGAGCTGCATCTGCACCTTGATCCTTGAGAGTGGGGTGTTCCTACGGATGCGGAAAACTCGGTCTGTGTGTCACGGGAACTGTGAATTGTGTGTTTCCAATATGCAGCTGTGATCTCTTTGTACGAGTGCACCTGCGTGTTGCCTTCATTCCATCATGTAGCTTCATCCGTACTCTGCCGAAGTTCAACCACACTTTATCTGTGATGCACAGCTAAGTTTTCGTGCGGAACTGAAATTGTGTGTGTGTGTGAGTGTGTGTGTGCGTGTGTTCGTGTGTGTGCGTGTGCATGTCTGTTTATCTATGAACCTCGCAGGGCAAAGGGCACCGCGCTCAGCCTGCGGCAGCTCAACGAGGAGCGTCGTATTCAGGAACTCCAACGGGAGAAGCTGCGGATTGAAATGCTGCTGAAGGCCAGCACTGAGAGTAACCCAGTGACCGTACCAAAGGACATTTAGTGCTCTGTCATACGTGTCCCCGTTGCGTTGGCTGCTCTGTCACACGTGTCCCCGTTGCGTTGGCTGCCTATTCCGCACGTACACATTGTAGACACCTACCCTGTTGTTTTATTTATTCTGAAGCTGTTATTTACCAGCGTATTTCAACAGATATCTGCTTCTGCTGCCCCTGCTGCCCCTGCTGGTCTTTCAACATCAGTGTATGTTAGTTTGTGTACATAGTGCATGCTACATGTGTCCTCCATTGTCCATTGACGTATGTAGTACCTGTGTGTACCTGTGTGTAGCTGTGTGTATGTATGGTACCATGATGGACTACAATAGTACGGTCATCCCTCCTTGCTTTCTACTGCTCTCGCTGTCCCTTGTCAATGCCCCCCCCCCCCCCCTGCCTGGGCGGAGGGCAGCAGTCCCATACGCGCGCTGGTCTCGTGCACATGTTCTCTTGTTTTATACCGGTAATTAGGTTTTGACTCTGCTGCTACATGTCCGTGCTATCTATGTGTTGCCTTGAGAATAGCTAGTTGTATAGAATGCTGCCATATTTGTTTATTACCCTTCTTCTGCCTTGGCTGTGCATGTACATGATTGTACTGAGCTGGAGTTATTTTCACTGCTGCAATCTTACCCAAGGTGTACTGTACTTCAAGTACTATTCATGAACAACAGTATTTCGAACTACATGAGATGCAGTAAGTACATGTACTCGGATGGTGAGACAAGGAAAATGTTAAGAGGAAACCAGGAAAACGGTGGGGCACAAGTTATGTGTTAGAGTCCACCAACTATCCACAGGAGAGTCGGAAGGCATTTCAGGGACTGGGTGGCATGGTCAACAGTGCTCCAGCTCACTTCCTTGCCGTGGAATGTCTCAGTGCTCCTTGTCAGGCGGGTGCTACCTTGTGCACGTCTGGCTGTTCAAAAATCTGGGTCAGTTGGTGGTGGACTCTAACGCCTAACTTGTGGGCCACTGTTTTCCTTGTTTCCAAGAGTTGCACTTGCCTTTTGCATGCAGGATCATACCTATTTTTGCTGTTGAGAACGACTGGAGACAGTACCGTGTGTCCGCCGCATGATTGATGCGGCTGCCTCAACCAATCCGCAACGGATCACGAAGGGGTATAGCGTGCTGACATCATCCCCTAGGCACTTGGGTGTTTATGCCTAGGGTCCGTCGGATTCTGCCGGCAGAAAAATTGGCAGAATTGGGTACTTTTTCTGGTATGTTTCATGCATGTTTGGTATGTGGATAAAAAAAATGGAGCAGAATTCGAGGAATTGTCCGCCATAAGGTTTGTATGGTTCTGCCAATTTCACTGCTTTTCGAGCAGAATCTGCCACCTTTTCGAGCAGAATCCGCCGTCCCTATAAAATTATGCCTGGATTTTATTCTCTTTTTAAATCATCACCACAGCCACACAATTTAAACTGTCATGGTTTTTCTTTAGACTTTTTCCATTCCCTCAACCTAGGAATACATGTAAATCTTTCCCCTCGGGGCTTCATCAGAGACTACATTTACAGATTATTAATAACAATTGAATTTGCAGTGTAAGACCGTGGTGGTGGTGGTGAAGCCTGCGGGTGTTTTCAAAGAGAATGAATTATGATGGTTAATTCTGTAGGGACTAAGACCATTATTTTCTTCATGTCCACGTCTGTATAGCTGATACCAAGAATACGTACATGTACATGTACGTATTGGGGTTTGATGCACTCTTTATGATACACAGTTTTGCATGCAAAATGGTGTATCATTTACATGTACATGTAGCTGTGGAACCGCGTACGTATATAATATTATGTACAATGTATTCATGATCTCATTATTCACTCCGCACAATCCACATTTAAGTACAACTTGCTGGGCAGTGACTTTTTAGAATAATGTTCGAAATGTCATCACTTCAGATCATGTCACAACTTACTTTTATAATAAAGCAAAGATGAAGTGACTGGATGAAAAATGAGCACCCAACCAGCAACCGTTGATCTTGACTTGGATGCAGTATCGAGTGCAGTAAAGACTCGGGCTTGAAAACTGACAGCATACAGTCATGCACATGTACATTAGCCATGGTCACGGCTGGAAATCAGTATTGTGGCTCAGTTTATTAATTTATTATAAATTTATTATCAGTATTCATTATTATACACACAGCCGCGTTTACGTCAACGGCAAGTCCACGTATTCGCATGTGCCAGAAGACAGACAGAGCGGGCAGAGAAGAAAAGAAAGAAATGTAAGATAATTTAGAAAGTTTAACAGCCTGGGCCCGAAATTGTCCACTCAGAGGCTCATAATTCATAATTACATTTATCGCTCTTTTGTATTGACCCGCACTAAACCCCCTGATCAATGGCTGGTCCTATATTCCCTGTAGGAATAATATTGACCGCTTATATTGACCACCTACCGGTATATTGACTCCTTTTTAGGAATCGAGATCAGCTGTCAAACCGCCAGCCACCCACTGCATGTACATTCACACCACACAACGCATGATCTAACACACCACAAACGATTGCACACAAAGCAAGGGAAAGAACCATGTCAATCAAAAGCAAGGAAGAAACTCAACACCATGAAAATTAATAAAATAATCTAGTTCTCCTTGTCGTCAGTGGCCGCTTCTCTAAAAGCTCGCAATTTCTTACTCTACTTACGCGGCAAAGACCAAGGAAAACTTCTCTTACGTGGCGTTATGGAGATCGGAGAAACATTGATAGTTATGTTTGAACATGATTGCAAAACAACACCATCAGGAATCGGAGAAGCAGCACAAGCAGCACTAGATGCAACAGGTTTAGGGTGGGACTGGTCTGTAAGAATAGCTTCCCTTAGAGAAGGGTCAGACACTTCTGGTATAATCAAGCGAATACATATAATATAATTATTATCATTACAAAGAGCGGAGTCCTCCGGATCGATAGAGTGCTCAATGCGGAAGCAGAGCAGTAACACACGAGTCACATAAAAACCACGCGTGACGCATGGTTTTTCTGTGACTCGTGTAATTGTTATTATTATGGAAAAGAGAGTACCCAAGTGGATAAATGTTGTAATAAAAACTCTGCGCCTTGCGCATTGAGCACTAGGGAGTCGTCATCGAAACACCATATTTGACGACTCCCTGTTGAGCATCGTTCAGCCAGTTTGCAAGTCTTTTCAAGTCCATGTACAATGTCGGCAATCAAGCCAATGCACTGTAGAACAAGCGATCAAAGCCATTTCAAAATAGCTATCATCGGACTTGTTGAATGTTGCCCGTAGTAAAGGCTCATGGGGGGGGGGGGACTGGAGAACCTCTCTTATCCGGACCTCCCATATCCGGGTACCTCCCTCAACTGGGCACTGGTCAATACCAGTGCATTTGCAGATTTATGGACAATTCGGGGATACTGGAGATCCGCTCGCTCCCTGGCAACTTGGCAAGAGGTGTCGTTGCCGTAATCAAGGTAATACAACCACCAGTTCATAACAGCAGTGCGTGTAGCTGCAACAGAACACCGCATACGCATAGCACTGGGGAGACCAGTATCGAAGATGCAGCGGAGTTTGATGTGAACATGGCAGCCGTAGCCGTGGTATTGGATGCGTGGGTGCCTGCGGTGGCGGCGGCGGCGGCCAGGGTTTGCACAGATGCACCGGGTGACACTTCCAGGGAGCTGCTGACAGTGGTCGTGCTATTGAACTGAATGCAGTGGTGGAGGGTTGGGTCAGGGTTGTCTTCTATGTCAGCACTTACAAGAAAACACAGATAGCTGGCGAGCAGGACATCCCAGCTGCGATTGAAACTGACTTCCACAGAACAGCCCGGGGTGTTTCCCTTGCATAGGTTGTGCGCATTGCCATCCTCGCTTCAGAGTCCCAAGATTATACGCAGGATACACACACACACACACATGCACACACACGCACACAAACACACACGCACGCACGCACGCAAGCACGCACACGTCCACGCACACGCACGCACACAAGCACACACACACGCACAGAGCATCGAAGTCAGGATACTCTCCAGAACGTATTCTTGTGATTGTCACCGATGTATGACCACGTGGAGGAACAAGTGAATAATTATCTGGAACTGGAATCTATTATAACGACCAGTACTATGAGTTGTCAGTCTCCTTTATCTCTAAAAACTCAACTGCTGTTCCTAGAGCTGGGAAGGGCAAGACAAGAACTTATACGATTCGTGCCAATGCCAGCACTACCCCCCCCCCCCCCCCCCCCCTGGTAATCCCATCTCACTAGCATATACAGGTATAGCGAACCTCTTTAGGACACACACCCTTGCGCAAGGGACCGATGGTATTTTGTTCGCACAACATCGTGGGATCATGTAGTGTGGACTGTGGAGACCATCTGGAGCAATACCATGCAGTTAACATAATACCGCCATGTACATGCATGTACCTGTGCTGAGAGTGAGTGCTCGAATCCTGCAGAGGCAGCGCGTGCTACACAGCACAACAGTGGAACACTACAGTACAAGCCTAGTTCTTGGCAACTTTAAGGTTCGTGCTTGTTGTTGTTGAAGTTTATTTTTAAACGTCGCAACACAAACAGGCGGTTTCGCTTCCTTTGATACATGTGAACGGCAGTGCTTAGAGGAACCATCAGGCAGTGACCATGTTAAAGCACGAATCACATCGTACACCCGGATCTAAAGGGGCAGATAGGCTAGAATGTTCCTTTGATTTCGGAGTCCACCAGGAGCACCAGGGAATTCCTGGGATTCCTGGGATACATGAATCTACATTGTAACTTACTGGTAGGTATCCTCAGAGAAGCCGCCTGCACTCCGTTCGCAAGGATCAGTCTGGTTGTTGAAGACGACCATACCGACCCGGTGCGTGGTTTGCGTCACACCAGTGACGTTCATGCTGATCTCTATGGTGGTCGAGTTCAGGTCAGCGCGGGCGGCCAACGTCACCATGGAGATATCCGAGCAGACACGCGAGGAATCGCTTGGGCTTGAAAACCTGAGCACCACGTTCCCACTGACTGCGAATGTATAGTCTGTGGTGCAACCATGGAAGCATAATCATAATAAGATCTCAGATGGTGAGCTGAGGAAATATCAAAATTTTAAAGCATTATTATTATGAAATGACCCAAAGGCAATGTGCCTATCGAGGGGTTCATTTGATTGAAAGAACAGTAGATGTAGATGTATGTACAAAGACGAGTAGGGATTGATGAGGGGAGAAATGGGGAAAATCAACTGCAAGGTGGCGGAATTCCGTTGATTGCATAAGCATGGTCAGCTGTAATTTTCCTGAGGGCAGCTTTGAGAGGAAATATTAAATTTTGAGCTTGAGAACAGCTGGGCGTTAGTTATGCGTTAGAGTCAACCAGTTGGACTAGATTTTTGAAAAGTCGGATGTGCACAATCTAGCACCAGACTGATAAGTTTGTGTTCGGCTTGATGGAACTTACATGTACCTTCCCTTGGAATTGTCACAAATATCCATGAACCTTCCAAGTTGGAAGGCGGTTGGTTATCGCTATCGAGCAGTGCTCAAGCTCATTTTCATGCCGCGGAATATCTCAGTACTCCTTGTCAGTAAGGGCGCGGCAGATGTCAATCTTCAGACCACTGAATTCAGTTGTCTGAAGATTGCCATCTGGATTATTGTGACTAGTAGTTTCATGCCAGATGTCAATCTTCAGACAATTGAATTCAGTTGTCTGAAGATTGACAACTGAATTCAATTGTCTGAAGATGGACATCTGGCATGAAACCATTAGTTACAGCAATCCAGACGCGCGTGGTACTCTGTGACTCGTGTGTTACTGCTCTGCTTCCGCATTGAGCACTCTATCGAGCCGAAGGACTCCGCTCTCTGTCATGTAGTACCGTACTCACTCGTAAGCCTCTTTTACCGGCTAAACCTAACACAATGGATTACAATGCACCACAACATACATTGTACACTGGAGAAGAAATCACTACTGTACTTACTGAGTCTATCACCACCGGCAGTAACATTCATGACAGACGGGATCACCATCAGAATGCAAATGCAAATGGCTTTCACCGCGGGATGCCGAACGGCAACCGCACACCGTCGCTTTGTGACCTTCCCGTGGCGACTGTTGATAGCACTCGCCGCTCTGCGTCCCATGCGGGCCCCAGCGCCTGTACAGCCGACAACCGTTGGTGATGCTGCCATTGTCATTCGATTCTATTCTGGCGGAGGAGAGATCCATGCAATCACACAGGAAGACGAAAGTACATGTAGTCCGAAACTGACAACTAGTCGAGTACAGGAGATTTATGGTTCTCGACTGGGCCAGCACTTGCACTGTGAAGTACACAAGCATACGCAAACCCAAACCCACAACCGCCACAAGCCAAACTTACCAGTACTGTTAATATTAGCAACCTTCTCGTGGACCTTCTGTTGCCTTCAACAGAACTTTGCTTTTTCAAACGCTTCTGAGGCTGCTCTCTTGCGAATGAACTCTGGGAGCACTTTGTAGCTGAAGTCATGCATACATGTGCTCGTACTGCAGTGCAAGAACGCGTTACGTTAACCCTTTCACCCGGTGTAGTTGGGATGAGTCATTGTTCGTGTCCTTGCAATTCCACTTCAGTGTCATCATGCCCCTGCTCGATCGCGCGCACAGTGATAAATCACCCAAGTACTGACTGAGCTGATTGATCAGAGCGCTCTGTCCCACAACTAATTACTTACATGCACAGTACTGTACTGTAGTCTATGCTTGCCTGACCTGACCTCCATCGCTGCATTACGTCATCAACTCTCAAAGTCAAAGCAAGAAAAGATACAACAGTTGAAGGACGCTACCATACATTGTACATACACATACATGTACCATACACGTGCATGCGAGAAAGCCTGTTTTTGTCATGTTCTTGGAGGATAGATGTTCGTCCATTAGGGTACCTCGTTTGAAGTACTATTCCCCATACCATACACGTGCATGCGAGAAAGTCTGTTTTTGTCATGTTCTTGGAGGCTATAGATGTTCGTTCATTAGGGCACCTCGTTTGAAGTACATGTACTATTCCCCATACCAGTCCCTGCTGAAAATATCTACATGTACATGTAGATCTACTTTTAAATACACGTCATATTATTGTCATGGAACCGTAGGCAAACCGGTTTGGTTGAGATTTCGACTCGGCCTCATGATTGCCGGTAGAATTCTACCGGCAATCATGAGGCCGAGTCGAAATCTCAACCAAACTAGAAGGTGTGCACACGAGGATAACTCAAGTAGGTGAACGAAGTACCCTTACTTCTTGGCCCTAGCATTTCTGGTAATTCTGATAGTGGGCACGGAGGTGACAAACAATAGCATCAAGGCACGTTCGCGTCCCTGTTAGTATCCGCACAGGGGCTGACTCATACGTTCAGTTATGGATGCTGAGAGTGCAGGTGAATCATCAGAGTCGGCAAGAAAGGACCATGGAGAAAACCAGAACAAAAACTTGCGGCACAATATCCCAAGCCATGCAGGTGTTACGTTTCGAAACGTTGGGCGCCAAATGTTAGATCCCGGTTTCGCTCAGTCAGCAGAGCACGAGGGTACAGTAATGGGTAATGGTTATCATACGGAATTGCACACTTATTCAGAGAGAGAGAAAGAGTTCTCAGGTAATACACCGTAGTCTAGCATGAAACTAATCCCGTACTAGTCCGTAGGAAACTAGAAAGGAAGCAGCTTTTATAGCGAAGGTAGAGAACTAAGGTTGGTAAGACAAGGATTACGAAATCATCCTTCTACAAGTTCTAGAATAGTGGAGAAGGTAAACCTAGATCATCATTGCTATACAGGTAGATGAAGTGAGCATTGCGTAACATAAACATGATGACTAAGCGAGGCATTCTAGAAGGTGAGATATGCAATTTAGTCAGCAGCATTACTCATCAGGCATCTTACTGTAAGGTATGGAACAGTCCGGAATCAACGACGTGATTGACTAACTAAAAGGAAATGGTAGAAGTACTAGTTCTAGAAGTGCTGACAACAAGGTTACAAGTGTGATAACTCGCTCGGACAGCGTGTTCCGGTTAGTCTCGCCCATGGCTGGATCGCTAACCTGGGAACGTTTTGTGACAAGTATAGTCACGGCTGGTACGGAACGCAACTTCACCCAATCCTAATCCCAACACACACACATCAACTGATCTCGTCAGAGCAGAGAATATGATCACTGTTTGGAAGAAGAGCACCGAAAGAACCTCTCGCTAAAAGCAACAGCATGCTATGATATAACACATTGTAGAAAACAGCAAGCAGCGGCAGTAGCGATAGTACTTGCTTAACATGCAGCTAAACTGCTACTTTGTCCTCTGCGCGGAACGGCGATCGGACACGCACACGCATACACATACACATACACGCACAGGTCTGCGTGATCTAGAAGCGGCGGTCATCATGATAACATAAATATGCAAAGTGTGAAAGAGTATTAGAAAGGGGCGAGACTAGACCCGGCGTCTGGACTGCAATAACCTGATTAAAAGCATTGCCAACCAAGTGGTCAAGTAGGTGCACTCACACTCATCCACACCTCGCGTACTACTACTATTGCGAATTTATAATTACATTGTATTGCACTTTCTACCGCAAGTGCACAGTCGTGTGCTTCATCTATTGAAAGCAGCCAAACCTATCATCAAGAGTACATAACTGTTCCAACTACGGAAGACATAGTGTGAGTAGTGTGTTCACGTTCTACGCACAGTAGCTATCAGCAGTAAGTTACAAGCCCTCACTCTCGGGCTATGACATCTCCCCGCGCCTTCGAAAAGACTGCCACGTCCTCGTGGCGACAACATTCGGCTTACCGTCGTCTTCTCAACTGGGTTGGCATCCCGTAGTACTGCGGTGGCCGGACGGTCCTCCCAGCTCGAGTCTGAACCGCAATCTGGGCTGGTTGTGGCGGTGGCTGGTTGACTGGTAGCGGGATCTGCACAACTGGTTGGCCGCCAACACCGTCCACGCCGCCATACGTCTCATGCTGGGCATCCTCATCAGAATCCCAATACAACAAGTCTGTAGGGTCCGGCACATACACATCAGCCGGGGGCGTTTCGACAGACTCAGCATCTTCAGGTTCCTCCACCTCACTCACAGCGTGAAGATGGTTAGGCCTTACTCTACATCGTTTTAGCCTGTTCACGTGCACAATCTGCACCTTGACACTGGCCGCTCGTGTATCTCTCACCCGATACACTACGTCTGACAACTTCGTTACTATTTCAAACGGCCCTTGCCAGAGCTTGGAGAACTTCGGAGTAGTCCCCACCGGAACTGCTGGTACCAACAACCATACCAGATCTCCTTCTGCGAATGAAACGGGTACTGCTCCCGAATCATGCAAGTGAGCTTGATGCTTGTGCACGGTTTCCAACTTCTTCCGCACAACTGCATGCACATGCGCTAGCCTTTGTCTCAAATCTCTGACATAGCTAGGCTCGCATAAGCTGACCATCTCATCAGGTGGTAAGCCATAAGCGACATCCTGTGGCAGACACATCTGTCTACCGAACAGTAGATACGCAGGCGTGTAACCCGTACTCGCCTGAGGCGTGGCTCTGTAAGCCATCAAAACCGCCGGCAAATGCACATCCCAATCTCGCTGATGCACATCGACATAGTGAGAAATCATCTTCTCCAATGTCTGATTAAAACGCTCTACCAACCCATTTCCAGCAGGGTGATAAGCCGTCGTCCTGGTCTTTTTAATACCAAGCATTGAACAGACATCTCTGAACAATCTGGAGTCAAAGTTTTTGCCCTGGTCAGTGTGCACACTCTCCGGTGCTCCAAACCTTGCAACAAACTCACTCACAAACTTTGAAGCTATCGTGGATGCATCCATCCTTTTCAGCGGATACGCTTCAACCCATTTGGTAAAATAGTCAACAATTACCAAAATGTGCTTGTTGCCAGCATCTGTCTCTGGCAATCCGGGAATCAAATCCATTCCAACTCTCTCGAATGGATATCCCGACCAAGTGACCTCTAGTGGTGCGCCACTGCCACGCCCCACAGGTCTCGATCGTCGACTGCACGACGCACAACTACCAATCCAGTCTTCCACATCTCTCTTCATGCCATACCAGAAGAGCTTGGACTGAATCTGGTGATACGTTCTAGTCACCCCTAAGTGACCTAGATGATCATGGTACTCACTCAGCACCTGACCGCGCAACGCAACTGGCACCAAAATTTGAAACTTTGTGCCCTCTCCTGCGTTCTCACTGTGCAAAACGCGACATATCACGTCCTCTCGCACCACAAGACATTTTCGTCCTCGGAAATAATGCCTCAGAGCCGGACTCACACCAGTCAAGTCAGGCGAAGATGACCCGGAGCTGAGCCACTCACTCAGCCGTGTCAATTCATGATCACGTTGCTGAACATCAGCCCAATCAGCTGATGTCCAGTTTCGTCGCCGCACAAAGGGCGTAGGAAGGTCACTCTGGACCGACTCAGCATTCTCCACTGAGCTCCTTTCGTCTGATACCACAGCAATCACCTCATCAGGGACTGTGGTGCCACACCTCTGATCCTGCACTTGTCGAGACAAGCCATCAGCATTGGCATGGACTTTACCTTTCCGATAACGCACCTCGTAATCGAAATCACTCAGAAACTCAAGCCACCGCGCCACGATCGCACTTGGTTCTTTGAAACGGTTCAGGTATTTTAGTGCCTGATGGTCTGTGCGCACGACAAACCTTCGACCCAGCAAATAGCATCTGAAATGCCTAAATGCCCACACTAGTCCGAGGAGTTCACTCTTCGTCGAGCCATAATTCCTCTCTGCAGAGTTCAACCCTCTGCTTGCATACGCAATAGGTCGCTCCCGACCATCTGCGTCGGTCTGGGACAACACAGCTCCCAAACCATGACCACTTGCGTCCACATCGACTACAAATGGGGGCGCATCGGTCTCAAACCTCGGATACGCCAACGTGGGTGCTGAAGACATCTTCTGTTTCAGCAATTGGAATGCGATCTCACACTCGCCATCCCATGAAAACCTCTGATTTTGCCTCGTCAGCTTCACCAGCGGGCGAGAAATGGATGCAAAATCCTTCACAAACCGTCGATAGTAGCCACAGAAACCCATAAAAGAACGCACCTCTGCTACGTTCTTTGGGCACCGCCACTCTGACACGGTCTCAATCTTGTCCGGATCGGTGCGCACACCATCCTTCGTGACAACATGACCCAAGAAATTGACTTCTGTCCTCAACAGATGACATTTCGAGGGTTTCAACCGAAGACCAGCCTCCAGTAGTCTTTGGAACACTGCTTCCAGTCGTTCCAAGTGTTCGTCAAACGTCTTTGAGAACACGATAATATCATCGAGGTATACCAGGCACATCTGCCACTGC